CATATACTGAGGGGGGGGGGGGGGGGGGGGGGGGAGGATGGGAAATAGCCCATTAGTAAAATATTTTTACTGATTCTGCAGAAAAACTTCCCTGGTGCCTTGGCAGCTGCTCACAGTTAGCAAATGCATAAACAAAAACTGACATGAGCAAAACAAATCTGAGACAGTGCAAATTAATTTCAGAGCCCAAAAAACTACAAATAAAATTGCCAAAGAGAGTTACCACTTATTATACAAAAATTGTAAGAAGTACTGTGAGATGCCATGAGAGGCTTACTACCATATGCAATTTTGATTTTTAAAAAGTTAGCAATATAAACAATAAGGCACAGGGTAATTGAATTCACAATATGTTGACAGATTGCTGAGTCAGTTGGCGACTATGAGTAAATGAAATGCTTCCACTAGATTTCTGCAGGGATTAGTTCAAGACCTGTTGCTATTCAGTATTTGCATCAATATTCCAATATTTTCGGTACTATCTGTGGTGAGCAGGAACCGAGGGCATGGTAAACAAGAACAAGACAGAAAGAGAGTGATCTGCCTCACCTGATTTAAAAAAGAAGAGCAGAAATGGACATTTCTTATATCAGCTAGGAGGATTCAAGTACGAAAGACTCTAAGACAGAGAGACAGATAGGAACATCTTTCTGGAAGTACCTAGATTTAGCATTTATCAGATGTCAACCAGCTGAGCAGCCATCCTGAGGCAGAATGTGTTGATTATGAAAGAAGTTTCATAGTCAAGCAGCAAGAATGATCAAGGGGATAGAAAAGTTCTATGGAGAAAATCAGAAGTCACTGGGATGGATTACTTGTGGAAAGACATATAAGAGGAGCTATAATAAAATAACTGCCAATGCATCAGTAACAATGCAGCAATTCCCTTTCTGCCTGATCCCTAACAATAACAGGCTATTCAGTTAAGGATAAATTAAAAAGAGGAGGAAATCCTCTCTCCATAGCAAATATTGCACATGGAACTCATTGCCACTAAAACCTGCTGATGCCAAAGCATACTCAAAATCATGTCATATCAGGATTCAAAATAGTATGTTCATAGAGGAGCTCATCCTTCTGCTGCTGACCCTTCTGCCAAACCTGCACTAAGGACTTGAGATGGTATGTCCTACTGAATTCACTCCACAAATAAAATCAGTATGGATGATGGCAGACCACAAAACTGGCAAACTTCAGAGACAGTGCTTGCTTTGTAAGCTGATAATAATAGCTGTAGAAAGGTTGGATGCCTCAAAGAACTGTGCCAAATGAGACTGATTTGAAGCCTGTTGCTGCTGTGTACCCTGCAGATCTGTTGCAACAGCAGGGACTGGGAGGACTCTTCATTAGGAACTGTAATGACAAGACAAGAGGTAATGGCTTCAAACAGGGGAAGTTTAGGTTACACATAAGGAGGAAGTTTTTTACAGCGAGAGTGGTGAGGCACTGGAATGGGTTGCCCAAGGAAGTTGTAAATGCTCCATCCCTGGCAGAGTTCAAAGCCAGGTTGGATGGAGTCTTGGATGACATGGTTTAGTGTGAGGTGTCCCTGCCCATGGCAGGGGGGTTGGAACTAGATGGTCTTAAGGTCTTTTCCGACCTTAACTATTCTATGATTCTATGACCCCAGTGAGCGTGGTGAGGATGTTTGCATAAGCACAATGTCTTGAAATAGCACTGTGTGGGACAATAGCTCCTCCTCTGTCCTAGACCACTCAAAAGAAGTCCTTAATGAATGGGTCCTTGGCAAGTGTGAGCATGCTCTTCATTACCTTAGCTCTAATTTAAAGTCCTAAGCACTGGAACTACCATGCCACCTTTTTCCTGACATCACAGGACCACAGGTAGTAGCTAGGTTTTCTCTTCATGATGCCCTGTTGCTTTACAGCTTGTGATCTCATTAGCAAGAACAGCCCAGAGTGGGCTGTGAGACTTCAAGTAGCTTATTTATAGCTGAAATTTGTCATGCCTTGAGAAAAACAACTCAGGACAGATTATACATTTAAAACAAAAAAACAAAAAAGGACTCAACCAAACCCAACAAACCTTGCTGTATTCAGAGGAATTCATCACTGTTTTCACATTCCTGACAATGCTGTTACAGCAAGTAAAAACGGAAAGCACATAGTTTCCATAGCAATTGTTAAAATGACAAGTTGTCACCTACTAAGTAATTTAAAAATAAAAGAATCACTTTAAGAAGCGAGGATATGAAGTCAGCACAGTTTATATTCAATGGTGGTTGTCCCTAGGAAAAGGGGACAAGGTGTTCTTTCTCCTAAACAGCATATTGATACTTCCTAACCCAAAACCTACCATTGGACAATCATTTAGGAAACTTTGACTACAAATTTATGAATATTCACTCTTAAGAGAGTCTTCTGAGCAGAGGAGAAATTATACACTGCACTGTTTGTAAATATTATTTTTAACCCTCTAAAAGATGACACTGATGACGTATCTTCAGACACTCATGAACACTCGCTTGGTAGTTTCCCAGAGAAGGAAAAATGGGAAATACACTGTTTAATAATGTTCTCATCAAGAGCAAAAAAATCATGCAAACAAAGCAGCCATCTAGGTCAACCAGATACTAACTCTGATTTTTCTTTAACACTGTTAAAGAAATAGGGTTTTTACTCTATCGATTTCCCCAAACCAACACATTTTAAATTTAGAGGTGTCTTTATAATGACAATAACCATTTTGATCCCCACATATTTGCCCGGAGATAAAACTTCACTTTAAGACAACTACGTAGCAGAGACTGCTGAAGAAACTCATCACTTTCCTCACCATTCCTCCTTGTCTTACCCTACACTTGCTACAATGAAAACTTTTTCATTGCAGCGATTTCGCCAATTTATGCACTGATTTTAAGGTGGCTCCATGTATCAGTGGTCAAAAATAGCTACTGTAAAACTATCAAAACTCTTTTCCTTATTTCCAAGAAAGTGCTATTTTTCTCACACTGCTTTCCTCTTCTAAACTAGTGTAGTGGTGATAAGTTAATCTCCCTTTAGAATGAAGAATCTAATTAACATCTACTAAGTGTTCAAACGTTAATTAGACTATAGTAATTTAACACTCAAGCTAATATATTTAATTCTATAAAAGTGCATTTCTGCTACTGCATGAAGTTTTTGTTATTCAGAATATCAGAGAAGTCAACCTCAGTGGTCCACAGCCCTAAAATTCTATGAATTTAATGGGAAATCACTGGGGTTTTGCCAGGCAAACTAGAAAATGGAACTCTTTTAGAAGAGAATTAAACTTGAAAAGGAATAAAGACTATTTTCTTTTTTTTTTTTTTACTATTTCACTTCTATTTTTCTAGCGAAACTCATTTATAACTGCAGTTTTCCGTTTAATTATCTGTAGAGATCCTGACGCCACCAAAGCCCCCAAAATTCCATATTAGAACTATTTTGAGCACCTGGAGATGAAATAAAGATGAAGATGGGGTTTGAAAAGCATCCAACATAAGGTAAATTGGGTAAGTTATAAAATCAGCCTAGAAAAAAACTCTATTTCTTTCTTCCCCAAATTTCAGCTGAACTCAAACATTTAGTGTCAATACATTCAGAATAGGTATATTATGGATTCACTGCCTCCAAAATTACTTGATTAAAAAGCAGAGAAACTTAAAAGAAGACCTTATTATTAATAAAGTAGGATTCTAAACAAAAATAAAAATCAAACAATACTTTCGGACTAGTGGATAGCACAGTTAAATTAATTAACTGAAAACTGTGCATGATTAAATACACTTAAAAATACAACAAACATTCATCCAGATGAGGAGGTAAAAGAGATTACTACCTATATAGGTATACTTACACAGCCTGTAGGCTTACCTTTATGAACACCCATCTGCATATGTACATGTATGATACACTGACACTGCAAGGAGCAGCTCATAGCAGCGTATGCTGAGATTTCTCAGACTTCTACACATACAAGTAAGAATTCAGTCTACAAAGTCTTTAGTCAAAACAGTTGACAGTCTACTGCTTCAGGTACTGCAAAACAAGCAGTGTTCCTAACTAGAGGACTATTTTATACTGCAGAGTTAATGATTCATGTAACAGATGACCTGAGAAGGTGTAGCCCTGTGCTGTCCTTGTCTCTCTTAGCTTTGCCCAGAAGATCTATTCTATATGAGTAAATCCAAGCGAAGAAAGAAAGATTTTTAGCTTGTGTGAAGACTATACACCAGAAAATTAATGTCACATATTGGTTCATACTATTTAATGCAAAAAATGTCATCAACTATAAGATCAGCAAAGAATATATATTCTTTTCCTAGAGTGTATTTCTGCTTCAAAAATCTTGAAAAGACTTATTAACTGATTACCTATACAAATAATTTAATTTGCTGGACAAGTAGATTCAAGATTGAAGGATGGCATGTTAGTACTTAATTAAATATAGCTTACAGAGATGTCCACACACTGTCTTACTTTCATTTCTAGACAAGGTCAAAGTAACTTGCAGAGGTTTTTTGCTTATGGATACTGAATTTCCAAAGATTTCACAGGGTCTTTACAAACTACAAAGATGTAACAGCAAAGAGATGTAACAGCAAAGACTGTTACCAACCTGACAGGAGAGGGACAAATGGTCTCCTGTGGGATTTAAGTGCAGCACACAAACTGTTCTTCCTCACCCTTTCACCTCACGAAAAAGCAGGTGAGAAATGCACACTGAATACTTCAGCTAGGTTTTCAGACTAACTGAAGACCTCTATGAGACCTGTTGCTAGTCATTATTTGCAACAATACTGAAGACGAAAATCAGCTTGTTTCTCTTGTTCATAGTGATGTCTTCTGCCACCACAATAATGAAGAAAAGAGTGTCCAGACTGTTTCTCTTCTTCACAAGAAAAATGATCTTTTTATCCATAATACAAAGGTCATTGCAGTGATCACTTTATTTCTTAAGTAGTTAATTGAGAGCCTACACAGCTTAACTCAAGACATTAAAATCAATCCCCACATTATTGAGTGAACTTTTAGGAGTTCTCACAGATGTATGTATCCATGCTTGCCCTACATAAAGGAACACTACACAGGAAGAATGCAGTAAGCATGACCACTGGAATGAGCAAAAGGTATAGGACAGTTGTACAGTATGTACACATGTACTACAAAACATCACAAATCCACCTCTGCACCTGGAGTTATTTGCAATTTCAAATACACAGTGTTTATACAGTGCTAGTTCTTCTGAACATTTTTATCCATCTATACAAATGTATGTATTTGAACATATGAACTGCGGTAAATTTACAGTACTCCTTTTTCCACATAAAGATATATTTAGTTACTAAGGAATCCTTTCTGCAAAAGACTCCACCTCATGAGTTTAACACAATTCTCTCACTTACCTGTTCCTTTTCTTCTTTTTCTAGGATTTTGCCTACTGCTTTTAAACAAATGCCTTCCTCCTTTTCTGATCACTTTTAAATTGCATTGTCCTACAAATCACCTTGCTTCCTAATGTCCTTCAGAACTTGTATGTGCACTAAGAACCAAGCACCACTCCTGCAATCAGCAAGCCGACATTGACTCAAAAGCTCATTGACTCAAAAGCTTTCAAAAGTACCAGAGAGAGCTGGCTTGTAAATTCACAGAAGCAAGCAGATTCCATCAGATTAGCTGTCGTGGTTTAAGCCCAGCCGGCAACTTGGAACCACGCAGCTGGACATTAGCATATCAGAAACTCTTCAAAAAAAAAAAAAATAAATAAAAAGAGCTAACTACATGCAAGACTCAAACAATTGCCGGGCTAATTACAGGGCAGGGACAGGATACATGTGGGCAGAAGTACCAGCAGCACTACCACAGGGTAGGTCCTTTATACACTGCATTTGAGGAGAGGAAGAGACAGTGTGGCTGGTGTTTTGTGCGGAAGGCTTAGGAGAGCTGTTACCAAGGCATGTTATCAAGGTCTGTAGGTCCTGGGACTAAGGACATGGATATCCTCTTCAGCAGTGGGCTGGGTGGAGTGCTCTCCCCTCCCCTGATGATCCCCTGATCTGTTCAAGATCTTTGTGGAAGGGATGCTGCCTTTTAAGAACGGATCATACCTCATACAAAACTGTAGTATTCCCATGAAGGAGAGGCCCATAGCAAATGTAGGAATGACCAACAACCCAGCCTAAATCAGAAGCTGCCCACCACACCTAAAATGAGAGGGAAAATAAAAAATAGTCAGGAGTTTTTAAGAGGACTTCAAAAACATTTACATGACATTTAAACAGAATTACCTCACCAGGTTTCAGTCCATATACAGCTGACATTGTCCAGTTCAGCATAACTGCATAGCCACCTGTTGGCCTGACAACACCCTAAATGAGAAAATTTGAACATTTAAGGTCATTTGAAGGATGCAATGATATTCCTGTCTTCTATTAAATTTTAGGCTTTTATCAGCAATAGACTTAATGTTGAGTAGTTCCAATAATTCTCATTTAAGAAAAGGATCCATTCCAACAAGTATATGCTTGAACTAGCACTCATACTGAAGAATATTTTGGAAAACAAACAAATAAGCAAACACACAACAAAACAAACATAAAAACCCAACCCAAGGTCTAGATGACAATAGCTTTCAGAAGATAACTAACAAAACTAGAATTCTCTCATTAAAATCAGATATACAAATATTTAGTCAACATAGGCTGACACAAAAAAAAAAAAAAAAAAAAAAAAAGAAAAAATTTTATAAAAAAAAGCTGAAAAAAAAAAAAAAAAAAAAAAAAAAAAAAAAAGAGATTTGAGTATTTATGTGACTTAACCTGTGGCCATCTAAATGCTAGGCATGTTTTAAATTAATTGCCTAGTCTATATCATCACTGAAAACAAGCAGCGCCTGAGGAGTAGTCAATCCCTAAAATAGCTGGAGTGAATTACTCCCTGAAATGCACTCTTCTTTCTGCACTGACTCTTTTCAAAGATGACAGAAAATTGGCTTTCACTAGATGTCTATTTTTGAAAGGTTTAATATCTAGCCTGACATATACATACAAATAGAGGGATTTGAAAATTAGAATGAGAGAGTATCAGCAGCATCATGCACTTTGCTAAGCCAAAAAATGGCTCTGGAACACCATTAATAGAATTTTTTTTTCCCAATATTTTGTAGTATTTGTATGTTTAATATACATTTAATCATCTCCTGGTACACTGTTTCTAGAAGAAAGAATAAGTGTACTATATCTTGATGTCCTGAACTAAAATTCACACAACATTCACTGAACCAAACAAATGTCTATAGTGCAGACAATACAACACAGCTATCTGTCTGTGCTAGGCATGGTATATTCTCTTTTTGCAGTTAATGGAATGAAGTAGGCATGTTCAGGCCATGTCCAAGAAATAAAGTAGAGACATATTAACTCATTAAAATGGAGATTGCCACAGCAGAGAATGGTTAACTAACACTTCACAAATTTTAGAAAGCAGATTGCCTTTGATAGTCTCAGTGTCTAAGCTAGGCCTTGCTCTGAAATTAACTACTTAAAAGCAAGCTCCTTAAATGAATACAAAAGTTATTTTATTTATTAAGCTACTCATTTTAACTTAGCACTACTTGACAATCGCCATTTTGTAAGTGTGATTTATCCAAAGTGTCTGTCTTTTAATCTAGACAGACAACACAGGGAAGTAATTTCTGAGAACTTTTATCTCCAGTATACTGCATTTCAAACTAATAGTCAAGGAAAATACCTGTTGTAACAAAGGATCCTATCTTGGACCTTTTGACAATATAATTAATTTAAGATACATATGTTGCTTTAAAGCACCCACATTCAAGGCAAAAAGCAGAGACCTTTTTCTCAGCAAAACTGATGTTTGTTTTCCTTTACCTCCTCAAAGATTCTGAACTTTATAAGCCACATTAAACAATTTTCTAGTAGCAGTGAAGCACTGCTTTATCCAGGGATGTGTGGTACTGCCTCTGAAATTCTCGTGGCAACAGCAATGCTAGAACATTATATTCAGCTTGTCTTTAAAAGAGGATTTTAAGTACCAAGCAAACACTCAAGCTTGCTTTAAAAATAAGCTCTTTTAAAAACAGATCATTAAGACTAATTGACATTTAAAAGTAAACATTTTCAAAGAATGTCCTATGTTAATTTTCACTTATTCAAGCAAAACTTTCATTTTCATGGGAATTATGGTCTCAGAACTATTCAGTAACACAAGCTTTCAGAACATGCTTAATTCCATTTAATGTGTAATGTCATAAACTACATCTTATTTAGATTAGCTACTATTTAAATAATGAATAAGCAAAGACTATTCAGCAATAAATATTATCACACAAGTGATATATTAACTAATCTTTGCTCATCCGAAACAGTTAAAACACAGAAGATATTAATGGATAACAGACATGCTGCTGTCCTGAAAAGTTTGTATTGTACAAACATTTTGAAGTAAATACAGCTTACCTTTATATTACTACTATTTAAATAAACATGATTTATTCCTTAACACTGACTGTAAAGTAGTGAAATGTGAATAAATGAGATTAAACCATTTCTAGCAATGCTTATCACTGAAATCTGGCAAACATTTTCAATCTCTTTAATTAAATATTTTCTCAAGTGAAACTCAGAAACAGACTACAGATAGTCCTTTACCTTAGGCAAGCCTGTTGTTCCAGATGTATACAGAATATAAAGTGGATGATCTGAGGGAACAGAGACACATTTACAACACTGTGCTTTGGCAAGCTCTTCTTCCCAGTCAAGATCACGACCTGGGGTAAAAGGAACATGACCCTGCCCATTGAAAAATAGAAAATTGTTGAAAGAAAACCAGATAGATTAAATGGAGTTGGGTCAAAAAACATGTACAATTAAATATTCTGTACAGTAATTTCTCTGCTGCATTTGTTGTATTTATTATTTAAATCTTACGAATATAAAGTTCTCCCATCAAATGAAAAAAATGAAGTACAACAGGTACACTAAACATTTTACTTGTAAAAGAGAAAAGGCATCTGCACTACATACACATCTGGAAGTTAACATAAAGGCACAACTGTACACCCACCAAATTAGGTCGCGTGTAAATGAGAACTTTTTCAGGTTTGCTCTGTACCCTTGCCAGTGCTCCTTCTAGGAGGGATATATATTCCACCTTCCTTTTCGGTTCTACTCCAAAACTTGCTGTTACAATAAGTTTGGGCTAAAATAAAGAAGTTAGATTGTTAATATATACATTTGCAATATATTATATATATGTAACCTAATAACATGTTTTCTATGAAGTTCTTTGATTAATGATGCTCAATGACTAATACCTATCTTCACATAATTAGAAACAGAGATTTAGATCAGTTTTCTGAGGAAATCAAGCTTGTATGATCTTGCTGTCCATGCATGTGGTTTTTGTTCAGGAGCATACTAATAACTTCTGACACTCTTCACCATTTTCAACCAAATTTGAGTAAGAAATCAACAGTATTAAGTTCCTGCAAGGTGCACAAAAAATAACAAAAAGAGAGAAAAACCCATCTATTAGCTCCTCCATTAAGGAAAAGTGTACAGTGATGTCAACAATTATCTGTCCTGTTTAGCCTGCTTTCTGATTATCTCCCTGCACCAGGTGGCGTATTTTAAAACTAGCTGTAGCACTTTGCTGGCTCTTTTCCAACCTACAATCGAATGGCAGAAGAGGGAATAAATCAGAGAAAGAGGAACAAGCAGGCAAACAAGAGATGATGGGAAACTAGAAATACAGGAAGAGAACAAGCTAAAGTCTTAAGGCACATGAGGGAAGTAAAGCTAGAGTCTTTCAAGCGTTGGTTGCAGGATTCAGGATGCAAAATCACTAAAAATCAGATTTCCATAGTTCTGGTGGGTTTTTTTAATAATTTCTATTTCCAAATGTGGATTTAACATCTTTGCCGTTAATTAACCTCAGGGTTTATGTAAGATTTCCTAAGTCAATAAATCTGCAAACAAACTATTTTGACTTAGGTCCGAAGATCAGTAATTTTATTCCTTGTACTTCAAGAAAAAAAAGGTAGCAAAAAAAAAAAAGGTGTTACAACACATTTTAATTGGCAGACAATAAGCCTTCAATCTCCTTGCTTTTGGAGTTTCAGAAGTATGTTTATCCTATGCCCCTCAGTTTGATAAAGCTAGTTTGCTAATTGTATGCATTAGCATAAATCTCAGTAAGTAGGCACAAACCATGATACCACAGCTAAGCAGCTAAGGCTGCATTAAACTCCACACAGAAAGCACAGATTAAATCAGTTTCTTATTCAATAATCAAATGTTTCCTGTCCAAATCTGCCATTTGGGGAAGTTTGCTAATTAGTGTGTATTCAAAATATAGATTTCAGATGAGCTTTAAATTTTCAGGATTTATCATCTTTCTCTTTTGGGATGTGCTGTTTTTAATAAAAAATGACACAACACAATGCAGTTAAACTGAAAATTCATCTGGATGCTGCTCTGAAATTAGACTGTAATTTATGTAAGATATTAACACAGTTCTATTCAATTGTTAAGATGAAAGGCTGTTGTCAACATCAGGTTTACAGTCATTTGTAACTGGTGCCACCTCTGCTCATCAAATGCTTTGTATGCAGTCTAAAAATAACCAGTGCTAAATTGGCTAAGGTGATGTATTTCCCAAATGAGGGCTGCTACTTTGAAAGCATCATAGATCACTCTGTGCAAATCAAAGGTCTGTTACTGGCTTCAACGGCTGTTTTCTAGTGTTTTGCCTCTCTACCTACACATACTATTTCCCCTGCATGTCTGCTCCCATGTTGCTTTTATACACCTATTCTCCACCTCTTCTGTGGCTCCGTGTAGTCCTGCATGAAAAGATTACACAGAAACAGAACTAGTTTGAAGGAAAATGAGGAAAGTTCAAAGGTTAGCTAGAGAAGGAATGCCAGCAGTTGTGAGCTGTAGGGGGAAAAAAAAAGAAAAAAAGTAGAAATAAGATAAAGCAAGGCCCCATAGTACAAGACCAATCATTTTAGGCTGTTGTAAAGACTCCTCCTATAAGTTCTTCTCTAGTCTCTAATAGCATACAAGGCAAAGCTTAGAAAAATGAATAAAAATATTTTATTGGGGCCAGCTAACAAAGCTGCAAAAAGCCCAAACTGAAAACTAACTAGCTTTGGGATGCAAAATGCCAGGACTGTAATGAAGAAGTTTACCGAGATACCCAGTGTTCAGGCCATCATTATACATATATTATACAGTAGTCTAAAGAATGAGACCTTAATCATGCAAGTAGTTAAAAATAAACACAAGATACGGCTTTCTAATCTACAATACGTATTCCACAAATAAATAGTGCTTCAAGACAAGAAAAGACCTGACTGCAACTATTATAAGGCAATTGTGCATCTTAAGTATCAGCAGCTAAGCTTCCTGCCTAATCATAGAATCACAGAATGGTTTGGGTTAGAAAGGACCTTAAGATCATCTAGTTCCAACCCCCCTGCCATGGGCAGGGATGCCTCACGCTAGACCGTGTTGCCCAAGGGTCTGTTCAATCTGGCCTTGAACACTGCCAGGGATGGAGCATTTACCACTTCACTCAAAAGGTTTGACTGTCTTACGATGAGAAGTAGGGATAACCATTCATAGCCATAGCTGTGTGCAGAAAGTATGTCTTATTCAAAATAAACTATTACAAAATATGAGCTCATTTTTTCAAGGAGGAGTTCAGAGGAATGGAGCACCTCTCATGAAAAAAGGCTGAGAGAGTTGAGGTCGTTCAGCCTGGAGAAGCCTCACTGCAGCCTTTTAGTACTTCAAGAGGACCTATAAGAGATGGGGACAAACTTTTCAGCAGGGCCTGTTGCAATAGGACAAGGGGTAATAGTTTCAAACTAAAAGAGGGGAGATTTAGACTAAATATTAGGAAGAAATTTTTTACAATGAGGGCACTGAAACAGGTTGCCCAAAGAGGTGGTAGATGCCCCAACCCTGACATTCAAGTCGGGTTGGAAGGGGCTCCAAGCAACCTGATCTAGTTGAAGATGTCCCTGCTCATTGCAGGGGTTTGGACTAGATGACCTTTAAAAGTTCCTTACAACCCAAACTATTTTATGATTCTGTGAAAGTGTCTATTGTTTCAAAATTGTAAACTATATAGTTCAACATTCAGGTGAAAGGAAAGAGGACAAGAAACTGTTGTTATCACGCTCTGTATCACTTCACTGCAATTCACCGCAGAACGTCTGTAACTGCCAATACCTGACAAGAGTAGAAATTGTCAGCAGGACTTTGCAGCATTCCCAGACCTATTTAAAATTCAAGATAAATTAAGGTAAGGTGGTAAAGTACATGTACCTTTTCAAAGCCACAGAAAGTGCTTGTTATTTCTTTCATTTAGATCTTCCAATAAAATGTGAAGTTTGACCTTTCCCACAAAAGCATCTTGCAGCCAGCTTTCCATTGCATACTTCTAACTCTTTCTAATTAATCTTACCAACACTAGCTCCTGAACTGCAGCATCTAAACCAATTCATAAACCAATTCATGTAAAAGCCTAAGAGAAAAGCTATTTTTTGAGACTGCTTCAATTAACCTCTGATTTAAGCAGAATACCATCTATCACAGCTACTTATATAAGTATCTTAAATGTAATCTCAGTATTACGCAATTCACTTACCAAAAAAGCTTTACTGTGTTACAAAATTGGGGCATGTTTTGAAATTTAGGTTGAGGACTTACCTCTCCTCTGACTTATACTTCCACTACACATCAAATGGACCAAAAATCATCCACAATATCCAGATCTGCCTTTTAAAGAAGGTAATGTAAACTAGAATTTAATCCATCGCCTGCAGCTAGTAACTCTATAGCTAACACTTTGAAAGGCTTGCTATGTGACCTTGGATATATCACTTAAACTTTCTGTTTTCTTTTTAATGCATGAAGCAAGGATTACGATTACTGTGCTGTCTCCTTTCACTCCTCAGAGAAAATCCATTGGGATTAGTTAGTTAATAGTTGCAAAATACTCTAAAAGTAAACATAATAAATAATTTACATTGGAACAACCTTCATTTTAAAGGTTTATAATTTTTCTTCTACATTATTTTTCCCTAATTCTATGAGTTAAAATTAATTTTTATAGTTTGTTAAAAAGTGAAGAAGTAGGAAGAAAGATGGGGGCAAACTATGGAGCTGTTGTTAGTCTTCCCCCAGCTTTTTTTCTCAATTCCAATAAACCATTTCAGCCATTTTATTAACTTTTTCTTTGTTAAAACATGAAGGGGGGGAGGAGGCATGCATTCAACTTTCTATTTACAGATATTCATAAAATTCAAGCCTTGGTGATGTGAAAAGCACTTCTGTACACAAACATCTAAGTAAAAGTTCCATAAATCCTGTGGACTTTACCCTGCATAATGCTTTGGCTTACACATCTAACCAATGTGATTCAGTGATAGATGGCTACCATGGATGGTCTGAATGATCCAGGTGACTGATCAATACGACAAAGACTTTTGTCTAATTCTCTGGTAGAAAACAGGAACAGAAACTTCCAGTAGAAGCACTATTAGGTGGTTTGAAACTAATGCATATACAAGCTACTAATATGCATGTGTAAGTTACTAAATAGATTATTAAAGTACTATTTGCATTTTCACTTAATAAGGCTTACATAATGCTTCATAAACACACTCAATTTGTGCTGAACTTGGAAGCCTTTAAAGCATTCACCTCAATTATGTTCTCTGCAGTCATTTACTTAAGGTACCTGGTTTCCTAGCTGCCTTGATTCATGTAGAAATTAGATGAAGTAAATTCACAACTGAAAAATATACCCAGTATGCCTGAACGTCAAGTAAACCAACGAAGTCATTTAGGGTTGGCAGCCTTTTCCTCTTACACTTCAGGAAAATGTTGGGCAAAAGACCAATTTTAAAGTGATGTTTTGTAGAAGAAGATTGACAAATGGGAGAAGAAAGTGTGTTCTAAACAGACGGCAGCACATTAAACTCATGCTTTTTTAAAAAGAGGTCAAAATTTGTATCTCAATGTCTGCTATGAAGTTATCAACCTCAGCACATACATAGTACTTTGTTCATATTGCAGTTAGGCATTATAAACAACCTGAGACTATGTGCTACACAGAGTTGTTATGCTCTCTGGTAAAAAACAACAAACAAACAAAAACCAAACAAAACAATAGGGTTTTGACATTGACTTACATGAGTAACTAATGCAATGATATTTGTTGCTCCAAATATATTACCTTTGCATGGTCAATGCGAACAGAAAGCTCTTTTGATGCAAATCCACCAAAAATCAGGCTATGGATGGCTCCTATTCTTGCACAAGCCAGCATACAGTACACTGTCTGTGGAATCATGGGCATATAGATGACCACACGATCTCCTTTCTTCACACCATGTCTGACCATGACATCAGCTAATTTGGAGACCTGTACAGGCAAAACATTCACAACATATTAAAAGTTTCTCCAGATATGCTTTTGCCCCATAAAAAACAACTTTCACACAATCAACAGATGCAGGACATTAAGGAGACAAGCCAGCATAATATGGGAAGTTTATGAATGATGCAATCAATAAATATAGGACAATTTCCTTTTTGCAAAAAACACTAATACATTTTTCTTTCATAACATGAGAATGGACTGAAGCCAATTATTGTACACATTATGGAAAAAAAAATCAGTAACAACGTTTTGCAAATTTTTAAATGACCCTCTAAACATTCATTCTTTTATCCAGAAAACTGCTTATATTCCTCAATTTTAGCTTTTAAGGACAGATGTAAACAGAGCATTTCATAATGCAAATTCTATCCTAACTAGCTAACGTTGCGGATGGAATGACGCACTTCACTTGTAAAAAAAAAGAGAAGTATAGATATGTTTATTGATATAAAACAGTGATTTAACAAAGTTGATAGTAAATGCAACAGTGGTTTAACAAGATTTGTTGGTGAGGTACATAAGATTATTTAATGCATAGAGGACAGTGTAAGACAAAACTTTCAGGAAGGCACTCCTGTTGAGCCATGAGGTTCAGAAAGGTCCCCCTTGCTTTCTAAACTCCTTTAGCAGGGGAGTATAGATGCAGCTGGAAACGAACTTAGTCCCAGACTTGGTCAACAGTTTATGTCTAAAGGATTATACGTGTACAGTCAAATCTTTATATCAGTTAGCTAAGGTTTTGAAGTTTAGTATGCTATTAATCACTTATGCAGAATCTGTTGCAGCAAGGAATCTCTCGACCTCGAGGAGTAACCCCGAGATGTGTCCCTGCTCAAGAGGAGATTCTGGCAGCCTGCTGCCATGCAAAAGAGACCAAAGGGCCCTGGGCTGTCAACTCTTAATCCATAGATTAAGACGATTGACTTTTAGTCATATTTGCATAGCAGCCATATTTCAGCTGGTGCATGCTCAACAAGCTGTTGGGCAAGACTTATGGCCTTTAGCTATTGTGCTGTTATCTGTCTCCACAAAGTCCAAAATAAGCCAGATGCAGCCTTCACAACCAATACTGGTGGCTATTGCTTAAGCAGAAAAATGGGGGCAAGCGAAGAGCACACTGCCACAGCTAAGTCTGAAACACAAATCAATATGTAGTAATATTTTCTCTACCTCAGTAAATTTCTCAGAATCCAAGAGAAGAAATCTTACACCCTGAATCAAATACAAATTCAGAGGAACACAGATTTGAGAAGTTATTTTTCCACTCATTTTCAGATATTCATTTTTGGTATGCAAGAGCCTGAAGACAGACTATGCATGGCATGAAAGGTCTGGAACTTAAGAAATGTAATAGATCAGTGGCAACATCAGCGATCTGTACCATGAGAAAATATTTATTACCTCGACAGTGTATAGTATTCTGTTACAGAATTAGTATTGAAAATTCCATTAGTACACCAGGATGGAAAATTCACCACATAATATTTCTGTTTGAGTGAGCATGGGATCCTTGTGAGCTCTACGCTTCTCCTGACCTGCTTGTTGCAGCTTGTTGTTTTTCCTGAAGGAAAAGCAAATGACTAATTCCCCAAGAGCAACTGAATGAACTCAGCTGAAAGAGGTTTCTCAAGTTCCAGAGGGTGACAGCTGTGTAACACTCAGTAACCAAACCTGCTCACTGCTTTTAAATTTTTCAACTAGACATCACTGTGTAGAGGAGTATAACTAATATAGGTAAAGCTGTGGGTAACTGTGCACAACATATAAGCTAATAGTTTAAGAGGAAAAACAGTAAACTAAGAAGAAATAAAGTAGACTAATAAGCTAACATGAAAAAGGTTGGAAGTAGAAACATCCCAGGAAGTTGTGAGCTGGAATATTCCATAAGCACAATTACATGCCAGGCAGATGTAACAAGAACAGGAGTTTTGCTTGTAATAGTTTTACATTACTGATAAGACTAAAAAGTTACATTCTCTGGGAAGGGATATCTGAAGATACATAAATCTAAGTTTGAAAAAAGGGAGTTGCTCTGTCTTACAGGGGAACTCCTCTTACGTACAGTAGCAAAACTCTTCTTTAAGAGGTTGTCATTCACTAGAAAATACTACATTAAGCATAAGAAGTTTAAACATTCTGATTTATTCCATTATCAATGTAACAGGAAACTACTCATATATGTATTCCTCACATCTTACCTGAACTGCATTATTCCTTATTTATTTATTATATCATACAGAGAAGGTTTCAAGTAAAATTTAGTCTCACGAAAGACTTTTCTTCAGGTACTATCAGACTGCAAAGAAAGGAAAGGGGAGACAAACTCCCGAGAGCAGCAGGGAGATGTTGCCTGTTAAATAGAAAATACCCAACCTTATGAAGCAGCAAGAGATGTTTTCAGTGACCCAGCAAATAATGCAACCAATGGGAGCAGCCTAGGCCAATAATACATGTTGTGCCAGCAGAGCAGGAGGCAAGGACCCTGTTTTTCAAGGATAAGCTAGACAGGAGGGTAGATTTTCTTTGAAATGTTTTACTTTCATTTATATTATTAATCAAATTTGAGTTTTCTCTATTTAAAGAGTTACCTTACTCCAGTGTAATATTTCAAATTTTAGTACCACTGATACTTTCTGAGACTCATAGGCATTAGGCTCTTACTTTTACGGTCATATTCAAGAAAACTTGGAGCAATTACATCCAAATCTAGAAGCCTATCTGATACATGTTCTGAAGAGAATAATGCAGCATTACATACTGCTTCTCTCTTCAGTGGGAACATGTTCAGAATTTCAGCAACCTGAGACAGTAACATCCAGAAGCTCCACATGCATTTGACCTGTGTCTGCATTAAATACACAGCTCCTCCACAATCAAACTGTGCATATTTTTTATACTTCTGCCTGAGGATTTAAGAAAATGGAAACACAGAAGGCCCAAACACAGAAGGCCCAAGCATGCATGCTTGCATCAGCAGATGACAGTATAGCTTCAGCTTTTTATAAACATTGCATAAATCCCTGCTGTTATTTTAAAGCACGATAGAGAAAATGTTTATACGGCAAAGTGATCACCATACCAAGCCGAAAATTTACACGAACTAAAGTATGTACATGATTTACTTGTAACAGACCTCTTATATTAAATGTTACTGATTATCAAAAGAGCGTATCTTTAAATCTAGACCTGTTATTACCTATCAATACTATATGGAACTGACATGCTATCAAAACAAAACAAAAATCAACAAGGCCTGGACACAACTAGAATTTTTGACATACCACCAGCATTTACAGTCATTTCTAGATATTTGCCTGCTAAAGGCAAAAAGCATCACTTAAAGATCATCATTAGTAATTTTGTAATAGAAGACTTCTAATGCCTCTATACAAGCTATGTAACATTGGTACTTGGCTACAGGAAGGAGACAGTGAAGAAGTCTGCATGTAGTTAAATAATTTTTACTGAAACCTATCATAGGTAAATTGTACTTAAAGAAGAATGTATGTAGCATGCCACAGACAGGAATCACGTCTTTCATGCAAAACCAATAATCGCTTGTCTGCACTTAACCTCCCTATCCTAGAGTTTAATGGCACTGAAAACAATAACCCAATATACTACATGAGTACCTATGATATTACTTGTGCCCTCTCCCTCATCCTTCTGACAGCCAGAGAACATCTGGACTACATAATAGATAATAAAACACCGTATCTGCAACTATTTGGAAGAGTAGCGAACAGTTTATATTGTGGGTTTATATTGCCCTTAAGACTGATGTGGAAACCCTGAAACATCCATACAATCACTCTTTCTTAAAAAAAAAAAAAAAAAAAGAGGGGGGCAGATGTCAGTAGTGACATTTCATTACACTGTTACAAGCCATGAAACCTTCCTCTTTGTTACAGTGTGTTGTCATTTATGGTTTACATTAAGACAGCTTACTTTATCACTCAAGATTTTATAGTTGCTATTTTCCTACCAGCATGCTATTTCTCCACTTGTCTTCAAGTTTAAGATTGCTCTATCACTTTAATATATTTGACACTTCAGCAATAAAATCACTTGAGACCAAGTGATATAATAAGAAACTCAAGTAGGTTTTCAGCTTTGAAGGTCTGGGCTTAAATTACACTTCTATTAAATGCAAGCCCCCTGTGAACATGGCTTTATTTTTACTCAGCCACCAAACAAATACTACATCTGTATTAGCAGTTCAGGTCTGAAGAAGTATTCAGTTCTGCAGTAAATCACCACACTGCCCCTAGTAGTTAAAAGAAGCAGTTTTGGTCCATGCCAAAAGAATTCTTCTTCAAAGATACTAAAACAGAAATTCCACTCAAAATGTTCAAAAGAGGAGCTTCAAAACTTCCCGGGTTGAACAACGACTGGGTCTCACCAATGTTGAGTCCTTCAATACAAGCTAAACACAAAAGGATTCTTCAAATACTGAGAGCACCTGAAACATTCTAAAATACATGGAGTAAAAAGAGCCATGTCACATACACATTCCTCTAAACCAAAGGCAGCAAGTTGCTCTTCAGCTTCTCCACTGTGTCATTTTCCCAAGACTACTACAGAAAGTACTCCTTCCTACTTTCCCCATCCCCTTCATCAGCCTCTTCACTCTTCTATTACTCTTCTTAGTTACTGTTCCCATGGGGACCCCCATGAGACAACATGAAGGAACATCCTCTTGGCACACTCTCTGCTATAGCAGGCAATGGGAACTGCAAAATCATCGATTCAGATGCACACCTAAGTGTGTGTACTCCTTTCCTGTACGTGTATTGAACATGGGACTGTGTTTAGGAGGTTCCTAGTATAGTTAGGACACTAGTCACAGAGCTGTGGAAAGATGGTGTAGGTCTCTTGATTGACTGTGAGAGCTGTTATGCCTTGAGAGACAATTTCCCATGGGCTGTGAGGGAAGGTCCGCAGAGCAAAAAGCTCCATCAGAGACCATATGCCCTGTCCCA